ATCTGAGATGTATATATGTTTTGGTTATGAATGTGGCTTGTTCTTAAAAGTCTTTTTGCATTCAGATTTTCACAGCTCATTGGATATCTTTTTATTTACTGTTTGGCTTCTGCCAGTCCCTTACTCTGTATTACTGTCATTATTGTTAAGCAGGCCATCGGTAACCATGGGTTACTGGCCGGTTGCGATGCTAAACTCATAGGGTCAGGTTTGGGTCGTAACACATAAATACTTGCTTTTGATTTTTGTTACAAAATAGATACTAACCCTTTGATTTTGTCGGCACACAAATTCTATGTGAGTCCCACAAAATAATAATAATAATATTTTAGCCAGTAAATATTGAGTATGATGATAATATTACAAGACAATATAATAAGAATCATAAGAGGACTAGATTAGTGAAAAATAAGTTTTATCCACCTATAGTATGTTATTATAAGAGTATGCTAATAACACTAAAAAGTTGTCAATAGCAAACACAAAATGTTAAATAGTTCTAATCCCGATACATTTTTTTTACATATTTCAATAGTATAATTTTCTTACAAATTTTTAAAAAACTAACTTTTAAAACTATTTTTAACATTTTGGAGGTGTTTGGAAATTGATTGTTTTTAAAAATAATTTTATGTTATTTTACGAATATATATATATATATAGGTAGATAAAATAATTTGACAACTAATAATACCTAATTTGAATTTTTGACTTAAAAAACCAAAGTTCCAAATAATGCTATATCATTGTATTCAATACTAGAAGGATAAGCACACTACGTGTGCTATCAAAATGATCATGGCAATTGTGAATCTCTCTGTATATTATTCTTTGTGAGTCTTTATATTTGTCAATAACTGCTTTTGAGGCTATATAGAGGTAGTTATACAGAAATAATTGTAAGGGATATTTAAGGCCTTCTTTGAAGACGAAGTATTTTAATTATAAAGTCACTATAAATTATCACACAATTTTCTTTATTTTTTTACACATTTTTTCGTAAAAAGTTAAAAAATTACTAAAATAACTTATTCTCAAATGAAACCTAAAAATGAAATAAAAAAAAAAGGGTGTAAGTGCCTTGCATATGGTATGCAAGGCACACCTAAGAAAGGTCCTTCATTTTATTCCTTCAGCACTGATTTAGTAGTACTCTAAAATGGTAGCATAAATGTCAGCTCTAATAAGTTGGCAGTGTAAAAAAAAAAAAAAAAAAAAACAAAGGCCAAACTATCACATGAGTGTAAGGTCCACATCTCGCCACGTCGTTTAATGGTATACAGCATTTTTGCTCTATGTTTATGTTTTTTTTTTTTTTTTTTTTTTAATTGTTGAGAAATTCTTAGTGGTATATTAGTGATGTTGAATTAGTAGTCTGAAACATTTTTCCTTTCAAAGACAATGAATAACAGCCTCCTGAAACCATGAAAATCTCACTTTCATTTGGTTGTAAGAGAGAGAGAGAGAGAGAGAGAGAGAGAGAGAGAGAGAGAGTTATTTAATAGACTTGCGGCCACAACTCACTTTGGTGCGGAGCAAAATGAATTTGTGACGTGTTTTTCCCCTCCTAAAATTCAATAGATGCCTCTTGTATTTTGTTTTATTTTATTTTTTTGTTTGTTGATAAATTGCAGTGACATTTTTTGAGATTAAAAAAAAAAACAACAACAAATTCCACAATTTTGAGATAATTATATCAAATTTTTTTACTATTTTAATTCATATAACAGTTATTCCCATTTTCATTAATAATTCTTTAGTCAATAATGATGTTGTAATTTATAACAATAGCATATAAAAGTTTTAGAAACAAAAAAAATTTTGCCTCCAAAAATGAAATTTTGTTCCAAAATATTAAGAGACAAATTCTTGTCGTCACCAAAAAGTCATTTAAAAAATTCAAAAAATAATTTTAAAAATATTACTAATAAATATAAATTTAGAAACAAATTCTGATTTCAAAAGGATAATAGCTCATCACTACAGGATAGTAATTAGGGAGACTTACGTATAGATCCTAATAGGTGGACATATTGTCCAATAGGTCCCATGATAATTAATGACATTTTTCATCAAACATATTAAAAAACGTCACTAACTATTAATTTTCAGCGACAGTTTGAAAATTGTGTCACAAAAAATGTCATAATTATAAGTTTTAGCAACAATTAAAATAATTGTCACAAAAAAAGATCACTAATTTTTAACTTTCAACGATAGTTTGAAAAATTTGTCATAGAAAAGTATCACTAATTATAAGTTTTAGCGACAATTTATAAAAATTGTGACAAAAAAAGTTGCTAATTGTCCATTTTTAGCTATATATGCAAAAAATAGTCACAAAAAATTATTTTTAGCGACAATTTTATGAGGACTTATTTTCAATAGGATTTAATAGGAATTAAGTCCAATTATTAGGACTTATTGGTAGTTTGTATTTTCTCACACGATTTAAACGGATTGGATTGGTTCCAATTTTTTAGGATCCGTAAATAACAGATTGGTTCTGGTTTCACTCCAATCCGGTCCAATCCGGACCATGCTCACCCCTAGACAAAAGTGAGGACTTTGCTTAAATGATCATCCTCATCAACTAGGTGTACTAGGGTCATTATTGAGTTCTCTTACTTATCACCTTAGTGGGAGTTACTTATTCACTCAAAAAAATAAATAAAAATTAAAAAACACCAGAGTTTAAAATATTATTTTAGCGGCGTTATTATGGATAATATACATTATTTGTGGGTGCAATTACAGCTATAAATGATAATGACATGGTTTGTTGGTACTCTATGTCGTAAATTGTCAAAATATTAGAGATGACTCAAACCATTAGATTATTTAATTTGTCATTTAAATTTTATTAAAAAATTATAAAATATTTCTTCTTATCGGAGGTCTTGTAAAAAAATTCTCATTTTGATTTTAGGTCTAAGATCTGAAAAAATTTGAACTGCTACTATAAAATGAGCATATAACTCTCTTATATCTGTTACGTGTTTCACATTTATTCTCAAGTTGAGTGAAATTTTTAATGGTATATTTCAATTCACAAACTACAAATGAATTATGTGGTCATTTCCAAATGTTAGAGGATAAATTAAACAAGCTCCAAAACACATAGAGATAAAGTGAAATTTGTCCTACACTATTTCTTCAATAAAATTGAAAACAACGAAGTTGCAATTTTTAATCAATCAAATAAAGAGAAGAGACAAAATGATTTTTTCTTGAGAAACAAAAAAAATTGAACTGCTACTATAAAATAAGCATATAACTCTCTTATATTTGTTACGTGTTTCACATTTATTCTCAAGTTGAGTGAAATTTTTAATGGTATATTTCAATTCACAAACTACAAATGAATTATGTGGTCATTTTCAAATGTTAGAGGATAAATTAAACAAGCTCCAAAACACATAGAGATAAAGTGAAATTTGTCCTACACTATTTCTTCAATAAAATTGAAAACAACGAAATTGCAATTTTTAATCAATCAAATAAAGAGAAGAGACAAAATGATTTTTTCTTGAGAAACAAAAAAAATCTTTGTAAGGAATTAAGAATTCTATGCTTTAAAAGAAATCTGTTTTTTTTTTTTCAAATTTTTGTTATATATAAAATTTATACAAAAAAATCTAAAAAATAATTTATAAACATAAAATATCATTATGGGTGTTTTATTTTAAAGTGAAAAATCCATATTATACAAAAATTATATATAAATTTTTTTATATCATTACTAAAAAAAAAATGATATCATGATATTTATTATGTCAATATAGCTATACTAACCATATTTTTACATGATATGTAATACGTGACATACACAATAACTGTTGTAATGATATTTATACAAATTTCATTCATATTCATATTCAATCATTAATAATTATGCGTGCTAATAAAAAATGATATAAAATTATGATAAACATAGAATTAATTTTTTTTAAACAAATTTTTTTTTTTTGTTGTTGATAAATCTATTTTTTTGAACCATTTAAATGATGTCAATATATGAAAACCCCTAAAAAACTTTAAACGTATGAAATAAATGTAATGATATTTCATCATCAAACAATTTTTTTTATTACTTTTGGTTTAAATGGATGAAAAATTAGTGTATATTTAATTGCATTATTATTTGGATTGATTTGCATTTAATTTTGAAATAATTTAATTTGTTTAAGTGATTTACAATTTATCATTACGCTGTCAATGTTTCACATAATTTTTAATCTTTTGTGTTTATTATGCACCATACAGTGATTTTTATTGTATTTTATTAAGATAAAAATGAAATGTCAAAAATATATATGCATTAGCCGTGCATGTCACGGGCTTAACACTAGTTAATAAATAAAGTATAGGGTAAATTACAAACATACTCCCTGAGATTTACTTAAATTATTTTGGAATAGTATTGATTGGAGTTTTCGTGTGTTATATTGATTGGAGTGTTACATTTAGAAAAAATACACTACAAATTTTTTAATGTGTTACATTGGTGTGTTAAATTGAAGTGTCATGTTTGGAAAAATTATACTAGGGAGTTTTTTTTTTTTTTGAAATGTTATGTTTAATAATTTCAACATTATGAGAAAACTCACATTTTGGCTCTTTCACACTAGAATTGGACCTTTGGGTTTATAAGAAAAAAATGAGGATCAAACAATTCATAAGATCACTATTTTGAATTTATTGGTATTTCACCCCAAAAGAAAAAACTAAAATAAGTTTTCCAAGTTTTGCATAATTACATTGAGTTCCCATAAAGTTTTAATTTATATAATATTTAACATTTTTCATTATAAATTTATTAGTCATACGAGTGAAAAAAATTATATTGTTATCTCTTTTACACTTAAAGGCATATTCCACTTTGTTTATTTCTGTGTCTACACACCGTTTACATTAATTCTGATCTTTTTAGTCTCACTAAATGGGAGTGGGTGTAATTAATCCAAAATTATAGGTCTTGTTAACAAAAACAACAGATCTTACTCTGCACTAATAATCATATGATGTGACAGGGGCCCTAGCACCCTCTCCATCATAGCCAGATGTTCCAAGTTCTCTTGTGCTTCGAAAAGGGTCTCACCCTGTTAACAAACAAAGTAGAAGTCAAAAAAATGCCATTAATAGAAGCGTGATTGAATGAAGTATGCAATGATGAGTGAACAGAACAACTAAAACTCAGATCAATTACAAGGATATTTATTTTAGACACTGATTTCCTTCCCAATAAATTAATTCTATAACAACATAACGTTTGAAGGGTGCTCATCTTATAAGTGATTGGTCACCACATTGAAAATTGGACGTTCCACTGAATCTTCTAAATCCTTCTTAGCAATTTGATCAACAGACGAAAGATAAACTAAAACCAACATGCCACTAACGCTCTCAGTAGTAGAAACAAACAAGAAAAAGCACAATCTCACTTACCGAGCAAAGTTCAACAAGTATGCAACCCACACTCCACAAGTCACAAGGATAGTTCCATCCAAGACCTAGTGAAAACAAAACAATAAATAATTTTAACACATCAACATTAAATGACAAACATAAAAATACTGACTACAAAATTTGATAACAAATGGCCATTACCAAGAATAACTTCTGGTGCACGATACTGACGCGTTGACACCAGGTAGGTGTGGTCCTCATGTCCAAAAGTAGTACTCCCAAAATCAATTAGCTTAATAGCACTTGACTTTGGCAGATTGTTGCATATAGTCAAAACATTAGAGATCTGAAGTTAAAATAAGAATCAAATACATAAGCACCAGCCTAGCAACAGTATTATTGATTTACACAGTTTATCTCATCAACTAATATCAATACTCGATTTACATGAAAAATTAGACCAAAGATTTTTATTTGCAGTAATTCAGGACAAATGCAGCAAAAAGAATAACCAAAATATCAATTGTATCCACAAATAGACTCCAAATGAAAAGGCCAATATATCAGTTGGGTTTAAATATAAAACCCTTAGGCTGCGTTTGGATCAAGGATGTGAGGAGGGATTTGCGAAGGGAACGGAAATAGGAAGGGAAAAGTGAATGAAACAGAAGCTTAATTTTTGTCATCCCTTTCTTTTTCCGTTCCCTCCACAAATCGCTTCTCAATCCTAGATCCAAACACAGCCCTATTGAGATGGATTGGAACACACCCTAATCTTGCCAAGTCTGATTTGCATGCACACACAAATGCAAAACTCTTTTAAAGATAAACTACTAAACAAATAAATAAAGAGAACATATCACATGAGTCAATACCCTATAATCTGGCACTTCAACATATTCTGATGAAACAAGAAGTATGTTTTCTGGTTTCAGATCTGTATGAATCAGGTGTAAATCATGCATACCTGCAAAAGCAAGTGAGCAAAATGAATGAGAATCAGAAGTAGAGTTGATCATCAATACTAATCATGCTTGTGCAAACAAAGATTACTCTGGGTTTCAATCTACTGTTAAATAAATCAAAGATGGAAATAGGAGTCCCAGTGATTCCCAAATCTGAGCTTAATTAAAAAAGCATTTGAGCTGCAGAGCAATAAGTTGAAGCATTTATAGAAAAAATGATGCAAGATGTGTGCACACACATGCTACAGATTCCAAAAGTTGTCTGCCAAACTCCCGAACAAGATCAGTTGGAAATGAACGATAGCTGTTTTTGCAGAGAAAATCGTATAAGCTTGGTCCAAGCTTCTCAAATACCTGTTAAGACCATTAAATCCATCCGCAAGTTTTTAAATCACAGAATATCCAGGCACAAAGGGACATCATCGCCCTTTCAAATTAATTAAACCACAAGTATCAATAAATACTTACAATACAAACATGATTACGATAGTCAAACCATTCCCGTATTTGCACACAACTGCAAAGAATAAAACAACTTATACCCAATTACTGTAAACTTTTACAGTTAAAAAGGGACGAAGATATGGAATCTGATGCATACCGTGTGCTACCAACATCATGCCTGGAAAGTTCCTGTAGGACACCAATTTCAATCATGGCAGCTTCCCGGTACTTGTTTATTGAACGAACAATTTTAATTGCTACAATCTCTTTCCTTTCATAGTCTAAACATTCCAAGACTTTCCCAAAAGTCCCTGCAATTATATTACCCAATGGATTTAATTCATCGAATGAATTAACAATGACGGGAATATGGGATGTCAATTTGAAAAGTTTATGGAACCCAAAAAATGAGTGTTTCATATTAATACCAATCTCTAGAAGACTCGTATTAATAACAAAAATAAATAATAAATAAATAAAAAAAGAAAGAAAGGAACAGGTAAAGGGAGAAGGAAAGAAGCTGAAGGAAAAACTAACCGTCACCCATTTTACTCAAAATCCGGTCTGCAAGTACAAGTAAATAAAATATGTTATTGGTGAACAGATTACTAATCAAAGAAAAAACTGAGAACATGGATCCACAAATAATAGGACATATCTAAACCGAAGATCAATTAATTTGTTATTTTTAAAAAATTTTTAGAAATGAGTTAGAGAACCATTTTCTAGGAAGCACCATAACACTATTTTCTGTTCTCTGTTTTGTGGTTTCTAGTTAGGAATAGTAATATGAACACACACACCCAAAAAAAAAAAAAAACATGAGTCCTCAAAAGTTTCACAACTTTTAGAAAAAATGATTGAGAGCATTTTGGAAACCACTTCTTAATTACATAATGTGTCCTTTTGAATCTTTTAAAAGCAGACTGGACCAGCCAGTTTGCATTGGGCAGAACACAGTTGGGATAAACTTGTAGCATCCTTTTGAAAGAAAGGCCACCTTTTTCAACCAAAAAAAAACACAAAAAAACAAAAATCAGACAGCCAATTTAATCCATGAAAACTGCTCATAAGTCAACAGGACTGGACAGTCCAAATATCATACAACTAAAAAAATTAGTTGAGCAAGAAGCCAACCATGGTCAGCCTCTGTCTCTAGTTCCCTATGTTTTATGATTTCTCTCTCTCACATCCTTTCTGTCTTACGACTTCTACTCAATCTTGGACTGACTTTATTTTTTTTTTTTTTGACAAGTAGAGAAGTCTTGGACTATCATCGATATATGGTTTGAATCCAGTCATTGGAATTGTTTTTCTTATAGATTAAATGCAAAAATAAATTCTAGTTGAGTCAATGTTTGTTTACTTTCAATCAAATAAGAAAATAAGGTTGAGATGTTCTCATGAAGACAATATTTGAAGATTATCAATGCAAACTTACAACGAGAAGTTAAGTTCTCTCCAATGGCAAAAACAAAATGCCCATCTTTATCATCTGGTCTCCAAGGAAGTGATCCAAGGAGGTCATCCTTACATTCTTGGAACTGGGCAGTCCACTGTCGATAAATTTCCGCGAACTCTTTAGGTTGTTTGTGAAGAGGCTGCTGTGGAGGCAGCCCATCAAGACCCATCAAACTGGAAATAGCATTCGGTGGAGTGCCAGTAACTCGTCTAGAAGAGCTACTCCACGACTCACATGAGAACTGCATATGCAAAATGAAATTTAAATTCATAAATTTAATATAACCAGATGAAAAAGAACCACTATCACTACTAGAATAGTGGTTTTTTGCGACTAATTTTTTGCGACTGATTATTTGACCGTCGCAAAAAATAATATTTACAACCTTGATAATTTTTTCTTTTATTTATATTGCCCTTTTCTTATACCTATGCCCTAACCCTTTTCACACTCCCTACAATTCACAAACAGAGAAAAATCTTATTTCGCTCAAATATGATTTCGCTCGCTCGATTGTCTGAAGAAGAGACCATGGTCGTGATGAAGAATCTGATTTTGCTCGATCGTGAAATCTGATTTCGCTTGCTCAAACGTCTGAAGAAATTGGTTGTGATCGATTCTCAAGAACTATGGGATTGCTTGTGATTGATTTCGCTCTATAGACCGCCAACGGTATGAACTCTCTCTCTCTCTCTCTCTCTCGTCTCAATGAGTCTCTTCAAATCATTCATTCAATCTAACTCTTTTTTTCGTCACTATATAATTCGATCATTGTATCATTCTCACTATAATTCATTCAATTATTCGTTCTCATTGTAATTCGATCACTTTTTCGTCAATCTAACTCTCTCTCTCTCTCTCTCTACATAACCATAGGTCACCTTTCGATGAATCTTTGGTTTAAATCAATCCTTCCTCATCTGCTACAGGTACAAGCTGAACCATTCAATTCTTAATTGTTGTTGCTTCACCTTCCAATTCTCACCTCTCTCTCTCTCTCTATATATATATATATATAATTGGTATGAACTTGCTTGATTTCAGTTCTGAATTCGAATTATTATTATTATTATTATTTTCTGTCATGTTAGATTGTGGTGCGTTTTGAGTAAAATATCAAAGGTTAAAAATATCAAAGATGTGAACTAAGTAATGATGTGCATGAGACAATTTATGATGTGTAAATAAAATTTTCCACAAAGTAGTGCATTTTAGTGCACAGATAGTGAAAAACTTGAAGAGATGTGATGCTGATTTCTGAATCCTGAATCAGAGTTTACATTGGCTCACATATGAGCCCCCAAGGCTACTACATATATATAATGGCAATGATGGGACTGCTATTGGGAAATTTCAGCTCACAGATGGTTTGCCCTGCTACTTCTCTATTTTATCAGTCTAGAAGTTCAATGTTCTTCCATCCTCTAAACTGGTTAGTTTCCTTGGTTTTTGTTTGTGTTTTGCTTCTCAACACCTTCATCAGACTTTTTATTTTTATTTTTATTTTATCTAGTTTGCTTTCAAATTTGAATAAAAAGTTTGATTTTACATGAA